ATCTTTCTCTTTTACCCACTCTTTTATTTTCTTTTATCATGAACTAAACCTACCTTCGGGGGGGTGGAGGAATCGCTTGATGGAGCCTTCGAACAACATTACCTGCTTACATTGATGATTTAATAAAGATGTTTTAATATTTTCATCAAACTGATTTTGTTTAGCTAGCATTGTCAGGTTGTTAGCTATTTTGTGACTTGAGAAAGTCCTTTTAATACATGATAATTTCTTATTGCGTTAGATTCCTCTATTTTAAGTAGGATGATGAGCACTCAGGAATGAGGTTCACCCTACCATGCTTATAAACTACTTTATGCTTGTTTATCCTATAGTGGGAGTTGAGAATGAACATGTTTGGGTATCTCGGGAGAGAGTCATGTTTGTTTGGGCATTAGGCACTGTAAGTTTTGCTAGAGCGCTGGTTGGGAGTCAACGAGAGCATCTAGAGTGATTCCCCCTCGATTCCTCTTTATACCATATTCGTTTATTCTTTCCAGTTTGCTCTCTGTTTTCGCATGCTCCCGCACCTGACTGCATAATATTTCTGCTCGTTTCACTTAATTACAATTTATGTTAGTTTCTAGTACAAAATTCATCCTACATTAATTGTGTTTATTTTGAAATTCTTTTGATATTCTATTTTACTATTTCAAAGTTAAATCTTAGTCCCTGTTGGAAATAACCTTGTTATTATACTACATCCGAGCTTTTTAGTGTATATTGCACTGGTTTCACGGTAGTTGTGTACACGCAACAAGAATCAAAGATAGAAACAGTGTGTGTATTGGGTTCCATAATTGGTTACCTACAAGTTCTACGTTAAGACCAATCTATCTTTTCAAGGGGGAGCTTCTGAGAGGTAGGTTTGCACACTATTGAATGGAGAGGGTGTGTGGAATGAGAATCTGATAAGTAGAATGTTTCACCCTACAGATGTAGTGGTCTAAAGATGTTTCACCCTACAAGTTCTATCTATTCCTGCTAGCAAAGACAAAAGCTAAAGATGTTCCAATGTGGCATTATTGCAAAGATGGGAACTATTCAAAAGTGGTTATCATTTTTGTTTCTTTAAAAAAGGTTGGCCAGATCAGTTTTGTAGTGAGGATATGGAAAAGTAGTGGTCTTTTTACTTAAATTCCATCTAAAATTAAGATCTTTGGCTGGAAAGTGTTATCATTTTGAAGTGAATTTGGGAAGAAGAGAAATTGAAGGAGTTGAAGGGTGCGAACGATGTGTACATTTTAGGGAAGATTCTCTACATGTTATTTGGTTGTGTAACCATAAAAATAATATGTAGAAAGAAACACCTTTTTATCACACTCAAGGGCCAAAAACGATTTCTACTCTTAGTGACCTATTGTGGTGGTTCGAGGATCAACATGAGGAAAGACAATTCAACTGCTTCCTAATTATGTTAAGGGCTGTCTGGAACCAACACACAATAAAGTGGTGATTAAGGGGAGCGAGCAATAGTGGTCAACCATGGATGAAAGGGTTTTATGGGAGTGGGTTAATCTTATGAACAACAATACTTTTTAGCAAATGGAAAGTTCAGATTAGGGAATCAGAGATTACCTGGAAGAGGAATGGTGCAGAGTTACGATGGTCGCTAGAACCAGCCCTCTTCTGGTGAGCTAAAATTGAATACAGATGCAGCTATAAGAAGGAAATTGCAATAAACAAGGGTGGGGGGAGTAATCATAAATGAACAAAGAGAGATTATTCTTACCATTCTCAGAGTGTAGAACCAAGTTTTAAGGTTGATGTTGATGAAGCAACGACGATCAGAGATAGTTTGGGTGTGCCGATTAAAGCTAGTTTTGGAAGGATAATAGTGGAGACTGATTCGTGGCGGGTGTTTGCGATGGTTCAAGCAAAGAAGGAGAAGAGATTAGTGGTGGGGCTAATTTGTAACGACATCCAAGCCATGATTGCCCATACGAAAGAAATTACCTTTCGCGATTGTTGGAGAGGTGGAAACAAAGCAGCTCACGCGGCAGCTAAAATGGTAGTGAAGGCTAGTGTTGATGGAAGTTGACTGGAAGAGGCAGCAATCGACCTCGAAGAGGTGATATTGTGAGCTTTTAGGTGCTTAAAGCACTTCTATATCTACTTCCATTTAATTTCATTTGTTATCATTGCATTTCAGTAATTAAAAAAGAAGCTAATTAATCACATCCATAAATTATCTATATCACGAGGTAACAAGAAATATGTATCCCCTGATTCAAAAAGGTGTTTTTCCTGAAGAAATGAGTATGACAGAAATTTAAAAAAAA